GTTTGGTTCACTTTCTGGTTGCTTTGGTTGTATAATTAGTTTTTACATTTTTAAGAAAGTCCCATTTATGGTATATTCCTTTTGCATTTGTATGATTAGAAATATATTTGTTGCCTTTATATTTAAATTACAACTTTACAGGGAAAAACATTCTTGAGTCACAACTTCTTTCTCTCACATTGTGTGGACATTGTTTCCACTGGATATTCCCATTTTTTCCCTCCTTATATATAACTTAATTTGTTTCTCTAGATTTTTATAAGATTTTTTTTAAAAATCCAAGATTTTTTAATTAATAGCAAGTTTCTTAGTACTCAAAATCCTATTGTACGTTTCTTGGAATGATAGTTCCATAATAAATAAAAGATTATAATTTCAACTGTTCCTTCCAGGTTTACCTTTTATAATCTTTTATTATGAAACTATCTTTATGAGGTAACAAATTGATCTTAAGAGCTTTGATTATGTTTTTTCTAACCATATATTTCAAATGACTAGCATAGTGAAATAAATTTGGAGTTCAAATGGTATTACTGAATAAGGCAACATGAGGCATTCATAAAAGTTACCTATCATGGAATTAACTTAACCCCCATGATAGAAAAGAAGACAATGAGATAGGAACTGTGTAAATTGCATGTTGCAGAAGGTTTAGGCTACAGTTATGATGACGTTTCCTGTGAGCTTCTTGCTCTATATCCTCTTTTCATTTACAGCTGCTCATTCCCCGACATATGGAAAAGAATAGATTTATAGGGTGATAGCTACCCACTGTGCCATCTACTTTCTTCTTCTTTTTTAAAAAATACAATGTGATTTATTTATAAATGAGAACAAATTAACAATGAACACTTTCAGAAGTTGAAAAAGGACACTAACAGTACTAAATACATAGCCTTTTAATTTTCTTCAAATTCGGAGTTTTAATTATATAAAGATGAGTAGTCAATTATGTAACCTAAAAATATTTAGTTATTAAGCTATATTAGCACTTTCAATAAACTATACAAAAAGATGAGACAAACGTGTGCATTTATAGAATTGCATGTCAGTCATGCCTGATCCCGGTGAGGGAATTCCCAACACGAGTTCATTCGTCTGTGAGGACACAGAATAATTTAGACATACACATCCATTTACTTGTCCAGCCTGGTCAGCCCTCCACTGCTTGATGGTTTCCTTCCACTATGAATGTGCGTGTCCAGGTGTCTGCTTCTCAGAGCAGACATTCACCTTCCTCATCCACCAGCCATTGGAGGAGGACGGAGGCCACACAGATGATTAATTGGACCCATTCTGGGAGGGTTTCCAGGGGGCCCTCTTCCATCATTATATCTGGAATCAGATGAGTTTCCGTAGCCTCTTCCCCTTTTCACATCTTGCTGAAGCAGGTTTTGAAAAACAAAGCCACGAACTCAGCTATTCCCCAGAAGAAATCTGCTATCAAAGATAATCTCCATGGGAACTGGCTCCCGCTGCCCAACACTTGTCCATTTGTGATGTAAACCATTTCAATCCTCGAGCCCCTCCACATCTACTTTCATTAATAGTTGGTTTCCTAAATTAATTGGCAACTAGGCATAACTTATTAGTATTTTATTTTATTTTTTATGATGTTAAAAATAGCTTGTGTTTGGGAAGAAAAGAAAAATCTTTGTGCCTGAAGTAGCTTTTGACAACTACTTAAGTGCTATTATTCCTCCTATACAGGACAAGATGTGGTCTGTATAATTTAATAGTGCTAAAATGTTACATTTTAAAAAATATATATTTTATTGATTTTTTTTTTTACAGAGAGGAAGAGAGAGGGATAGAGAGTTAGAAACATCCATGAGAGAGAATCATTGATCAGCTGCCTCTTGCACACCCCCTGCTGGGGATGTGCCTGCAACCAAGGTACATGCCCTTGACTGGAGTCAAACCCGGGACCCTTCAGTCCACAGGCTGATGCTCTATCCACTGAGCCAAACCGGTTTTGGCTAAAATGTTACATTTTTAAGACAGCTATTTTATAGCTCCCCTGAATAACTGAGCCCATGCTGGAATTTAATAACTTATGTCTCTAAATTCCTGGGTAAAAAATAGTTTTCCTCTTTGAATAAAAGTTGCCATAGCAATTGACAAGCTTGTCAAACACCAAAGCCAATCATTAGTTTTTCAATATTTTCAAAGATGTGAGTAAAAATAAAGGTGTATTATAACATCTATATCAGCCATTGCAATTAGGCATCAAGTATATTTTTGCAGTTAATCAATATTTAAGTATAATGATATTCTTTATGTTAACTTTAAGACTATGTATTGATTAATTACAGAGATATAGGAGTTAAGAGAAATGCCAGTTATTTTGTTAATTGCAATAATTATACTGAATTCTATAGTGAAAATCTGCAGTTTTAAAGAGGATAATATTTGGTATTTATGTGGAAATTTGCCAAGATTATAGAATCTGTTACATAATTCACCCAAAGATTACATCTCTGACTTTAGTGTTGCTGAACTGTTTATAATAATTCTAGCAATCAGAATAAAATAAAATTCTTATTTAAACTCACTGACAATTTTCTTCAAAATCACCCCTTTACATGATTCTCTGGGAAATTACATAAGCCATTATCACTTGTTATTCAGATCTGATGATTTCTGGCAGGTTAGATTTAAATTTTCAGTTCTGCTATGTAATTAGCTAGAATACCAGAATTGAATGGGAGATGTTTATTATACAGATCTATAAATCTCTAGATTAGTTTGTCTTATTCAGTGTGTTGCTCAAGTTGGGTCTCTTTTGGTTGCAAGTTAGGGAAACTTGTTTGTCAGTCAGGATTCTTTTAGTTGGCAATTACCCAACAAAAGTAATAATAAAAGAGGTTTCGTGGTTACCACACCCAAGTGTGTACCCGATCAGGGATCTGACTTGTTCTTTGCATTGGTTGTTGTGTTCTCGTCTATGTTTGCTGTGTCTTCAGGCTGGGTTTCCTCGCGGCAGTAACATGTGGGCAGCGGTTCAAGTCTCACGCCTACATTTCTCAGCAATCAGAATGAGAGAAAGAATCTCCTTTAAGCTTCTAGATGCTCACTAGTTGGCCATGCTCGTGTGCTAGGGATCCCCACCAGCCCTTGTGGCCTTCAGAGTGTCATGTGCAGAATGTCTTGTGCCCAATGGCAAGGAGGGGACCCACCTCAGAAGTTCCCAGTGGTGAAGCGCCACTGAACAGGGAAGACCCATTTGCTACATAGTCTCAATGCTTGTTACCCCTCTTCCCCCCAGAGCTCACATAACCAGTGTCTTGATCTTTTGGAAGAGAGTGCTGTTAAACCTAATTGTTAAATCTCTTTTGGGCTGCATGGAATTGTATTCCTTCTTATTCCTTTGTATCTCCTTTTTTTCTCCTTTTCTCCTTTCTCTGCATAATTTTCTTATCCATATGTACACAATTCATTGTTAATCCCAGAGTTTAATTGGAGGTTTACTTGGGAACTTTCTAAAAAATCTTAAAGTTAACATATAATCACTGTTCTCAATATTTACATTTAGGGTCAATATTTTTTATTTTAGTCATGCAGCAAAATCTACTAGTATTAGGAATATCTTCTTCCTTTATATAGTCAGTGGTATATATATTTGTCATGTATATATATTTGACAAGATTTCAAGAATAATTATATTTTATATAATTAGCACAACTAATAAATGCATTAGATAATATTCACATCTCAAACATTATTATTCAAATCACAGACTCTCTATTCAATAGCCATTATTCTTACATATATATACCTGGAAGTTTTAAAATATATTTTATCTAATGGCTGCACAAGTTGATATGCACAATTATATTTGGTGGTAAAAAATTATTTGCAATTTGAATTAGTCAAGAATTATTTTATTGTCTGGAGGTTTCTCTTCAATATTGCCTTTTAAAACATTTAAGTCCTTGCACTGAGTGAGAGACATGAAAAATAAAGGTTCTGTAGCAGGCACCATGGTGATACTAATAATGAGAATCACATAAAAGTAGAATTTAGTAACCCCAAATTATAGAGAAAAAATATCATCCATTTCTAGGATCTTTGACTTAAAGCAGGCCCTAATGTAACCCCAACTTTAAAGAAGAGAAGTTTGCATTTGTTGTCACTCAATGGTAATTATAGTTCAAGTTTTCATTAAATAGTTCTAAGAGTGGCATTTCCTTTGGTCAGCAATTAGAGAGATTCCTGTAATAGAAAGACTATTGTTTATTTATAAATTTCTTCTAAAGAAGCTTACTAATTATATAATTTTTTAATCTAATTCACATCCATTAGAGGTTAACTCCTTTAGTTGTTTTGAAGAATACTAACATTTTTAATTTCATAGTACATGATTTGTTTGCATTTTAAGAATTTTTGGGACCGTGTCTTGTTCATTTCTTTTGAGAACTGATCTTTTTTTTTTCTTTTTAATGAAACTGTCTATAACTCTGTAAATTATATAAATTGGATTAAATGCTTCTTTTCTCTCTAGCCTTATTGAGATATAATTGATATGTAACATTGTGGAAGTTTATCTATAGAATATGATGATTTGGTACATTAATATATTACAAAATAATTACCATGATAACATTAGCTGACACTGACATCATATCACATAATTACCGGTTCTTTGTTATGGGGAGAACATTTAAAATCTACTCTCTTAAGCAACTTTCAAGTACATAATACTGTGCTTGTACTACAGTATTAACTATAGTCACCATGCTGTACAGGAGATCCCCAGAACTTATTCATTTTATAACTGGCAGTTTGTACCCTTTGACTAACATCTCCCCATTTCTCCTAAACCCCAGCCCCTGGTAACCACCATCCTACCCTGTTACTTACTATGAGTTCAGCTTTTTTAGATTGCATATATAAGAACATACAGTACTTATCTGTCTCTGGCTTGTTTCACTTAGCCCACTGCCCTCAAGGTCCATGCATGCTCTGTTCTTTATGTGCATTTTTCTCTGTTATTACAGGAGGATACAGATCACAATTACTATATATCTCGGATATATGGCCCATCTGATTCGGCCAGCCGGGGTTTGTGGGTGAACATAGACCAAATGGAAAAGGACAAAGTGAAGATTCATGGAATACTTTCCAATACTCATCGACAAGCTGCAGTAAGTGCTTTGACATTTCAAATTTATTTTTTCCTGCTGTGAAAAAAATGTGTTTTAATTGACTTAGCAACATTTCTTGTTATCATCACGTTCAAGTATATTTAGTTCTGCAAATGCAATTTAGATTAATAATTGCATATAAGGTATTATAGAAAATGAAAATAATTATTTTCAGAAGCCACCTTTAATTAAAATATTAATTAATTAAATTAATTAATAATTTTCCTAGTGAGAGGATGAGTGATATAGTCAATGTTGAGATAGATCTTGGGTGATTTTCAGTTTTTTGTGATCCATAGTTTAGAGAATATACATTTTTAATTACATTAATTTAGTATCTTCCATTTTGCATGGGTTTCTTACTTTTGGTCTGAGAAAGATTTAACCAGAAATATTTGTGACTCCGATACACATAAAGACCAAGATAAGGATCTAAGAGAAGAAGTTTGATATAAAGGGAAAAATTAAACCTACCATGTTTCCCCGAAAATAAAACATCCTCCGAAAATAAGACCTACTTACAGGTTTCCTTCTGAGTGAAAAATAAGGCATCCCCCTGAAAATAAGGCCCTCCCCCAGGCTAAACATGAGAGATTTGATCCACTGATTCTAAAAGAAATGGAGTCACAAGAAATTCACCAGGAAATACAGGAATTGGATTGTTATGATGATGTTCCAGAAGATGATGACATGATTGTCATTGAATAAATGAGTAAATTCTTGATACTGTAGGATTCACAGTTTGTCTGGTTTGTGTTGACAACTACCATACTACTGTACTGTATACAGGTAATAAATTTCCTTTATTTTCATTTAACAATAAATGTGTACCATATTCTTCTTCATGGAAAAATAAGACATCCCGTGAAAATAAGACCTAGCTCATCTTTGGGAGCAAAAAATTAATATAAGACACTGTCTTATTTTCGGGGAAACAGGGTAGGTGTCTCCAATTATATTTTAAGCCTGAGTTCATTATTTACCATCTGTGGTTTTTTAAACAAATAATGTAACTATTCTGAGGCACAGTTTATACATCTTTGTGGTTGGAATGACAGGGGAAGTTATATAGGACTCACCTTACATGGTCATTGTTATCCTTTTGTACCTAATAGACTGAATGCTTACACAGGTTAGCTGTTCAATGCTCACAACAATCCTATGATTCAATATTATTACTGTCCAGATATTGCAGATGAGAGAATGGAGTCTTGGAAAAATATGAGTCTACCTACAAGTCTACTAGTAAGTGGTGAAATTAGGATGCTAATGGAAGCAGTTAAGCTCACACTCAAAATGTGTATATAAAATTTATCACATTTGGTTTTCAGCAGATTTTGAGGATTGCTTCCTGATAAGTGCCTGATTTAACACTTTAGAAGTAATTTAGTTTTGTTCTCCGAGACAACTGCGGCAATCTTACTGTTAATGAGGTGATGTCTTGTTCAGTTTAGTATGACTTAAAGTGAAAGAACTTTAACTTTTCAAGTATTCTGCCATTATTGATATAAAGACTCAATAAGTTAAGTGCCTGAAAGAGGCATGTATTTGGTAAATATAAAATATCAAAAATTTTGACCTCATCCTTCATTGTACATAGATGCAGACTTTCCTATTTCAGGAGGTCAACTTCTTCTTCTTTTTTTTTTATAAATACATTTTTATTGATTTTGTACAGAGAAGAAGGGAGAGAGAGTTAGAAACATCGATGAGAGAGATTCATCTATCAGCTACCTCTTGCACAACCCCTACTGGGGATATGCCCACAACCAAAGTACATGCCCTTGAACGGAATCGAACCCGGGACCTTTCAGTCCCCAAGCTGAGGCTCTATCCATTGAGCCAAACCAGTTTCGGCAGGAGGTCAACTTCTAACAGTTAAAATGGAAGTTAATTATAATCCACAATGATGATTTATTCAATTTCAATGTAGAGCAGTTTTTTGAGGCAGAGAAGCAAAGTAGTCAGGGTTAGAGTGTCCTGCCATACACTAAAAAGTGTGGGTTGTATTCCTATTCATAGCATGTGTGGGAGACAACCTATGTCTGTCTGTCTGTCTGTCTCTCTCTCCTACCCTTCCTCTCCCAAATATATATATATATATATATATATATATATATATATATATATATATATATATGTCCCAGGATTAAGATTAAAAACAAAACAAAGACACTACAAAGTAGCCAAGTAGCCATCTTTCCTTGCTGAATTTTATCATCTATCTTTTCCATATTTAAGCAGCCCAAGGCAAGATTGAGAAATGATTCATTGTTGGGTTTAGAATGGATCTTCAAAAGACAAAATGATTATAGTAGGACAATGTCTATTAGAAAGTTATTGCATCTTCAGTAAATTCCACTTTGCTTGAGAGAGAGAGAGAGAGAGAGAGAGAGAGAGAGAGAGAGAGACCCAAGACAGATCAGGCTTAAATGCCCTCTCAAACTTAGGAGAAAGGAGGTTGGGAGTTATGGTTTGGGACTTTAAAGGGTGGGAAGGCAATTCACTTGGAGATGAAAAAGCAGATGTTTGTTAAATAAATGCTTGCTGGGCCATACTTAACAAAGAGACACAGTGAGGACTTTGATCAAAAGGTTCTTGCTAGCTTCCTTCCTGTCAATCACACTTAATTCATATTATCTAAGATGATAGCTCTCTTCCTGGAGCAAGTATTCTATCTAAATTCCTTTAGGTAGGTAAGGTGTCAAAGGTTTTTCCTGAGTCTTCTTCCTTAAAAATATTCAGCTTTAAAAATAATATTCCAAAAGCCATGTTTTAGAATGGAAAACTCTGCTTCCCTTCAATATTATTACTTAGTTTCCTTTTTTTCTTTGTTTGCTTATTTTGTTTTCTAAATTCTACATAAATATAAAATCATAAGGAATCTGTTTTATTCCTTAGCATCTGACTTATTTGATATTATCTGACTTATTTTACTTAACATAATGCTGACTTATTTCTATCTGACTTATTTCACTTAGCATAATACCCTCCAGGTTAATCCATGTTGTTACAAATAGTAAGATTTCATTTGTTTGTTTGCTTTTTTTTTGTTATGGCTGAGAAATATTCCATTGTACATAAACCACATCTTTTTTATTCATTTGTCTATTAATGGACATTTAGGTTGCTTCCATATATTGGCTATTGTAAATAATGCTACAATGAATGTAGGGCTACTTTCTTTTTTGAATTAGTGTTATATCTTTTTGAATTAGTGTTATAGATTTCTTGAGATAAATACCCAAACATGAAATTGCTGGATCATATGATAGTTCTACTTTTAATTTTTCAAAAAACCTCCATATTTTTTTTCCATAGTGGCTGCACCAATTTACATTCCATTCAATAGTACATGAGGGTTTTTTTTTTTTTTCTTAAGTAGAAAAATATTTCACTTGGACTCCATTTAATTAAACTTTATATCTGAAACTTATAAATTAATAGATCATTAAAAACTCTTTATTTTACATTCTTTCTTTCATTAAAATTAGTATGAGATTTATAATTTGTAGAGTGATACATGGTTTAACATGTCCTCAATTGGCCTTCCCACACTTCCAATCCTTCCTGGATCTCTCTGCTCTATTTCCATTATGCCTTCCACTGAGTAGAGATGAGGAGAGATTTTTAGTGTTAAGGTACCAGGGGGCTCAATAATTTTCACAGAACCTCTCCCTTCAACCTTCACAGAGAACACACAGCCCAAACCACAGCTGTTCTCCCTGTGATGTTACTGAGAGGTTTTAGCACAAGGGAAATGACCAATGGAAAACAAGACATCCACATTGACTTGGTTTACTGTGATGTTATAATTATCATAATTCTTGATGCAAAGCCCTCTGGTAATTTGGCTGCAAATATTTAATACCAAAGGGAAGAGTGAAATTTCTATAATCTCATCACCAAATGATATAATATGCATGTCCAAAGTAAAAAAAAAAAAAAAAAAAGGAAGAAGAAAAATTATATACCTATGGGCAGACCCAGGGGCAGTTAATTAAGTAATCCAGATCTGAGTAAGCAGGATGTAGAGTGAAAAAACTAGAAGATTGATTTTTCTGAAGACACAGCTACCTTCCTCTTTCCTGGCTTCCTCAGAATTAATCAGAGGAAGACAAAGGAGTGTCTGACTTGGTAGCCTAAATTTTTAAAATATATTTTTCCCTCTTCCACCATCACTCATAAATGTGGTCCAAAGCCATTTTGGGATCTTAAATTAATATTCTAGAAAGAGGGGGAGGATGGAAACAGTAAAAGCTGAAGTTTCTAACTACAAATAATCCTATCTAATAGGGGGCTGATATGCAAATTGACTGAAAGGTGGAATGACCAATTGCTATGATGTGCACTGACCACCAGGGGGCAGCCTCACAATGCAGGAGCAGCTTCCTGGTGGTCAGTGCACTCCCACAGTGGGAGTACTGCTCAGCCAGACGCCGGGCTCACAGATGGCAAGTGCAGCAGTGGTGGTGGGACACTCTCCTGCCTCCGAAGCAGCACTAAGAATGTCTAACAGCTTCGGCCCACTCCCCACCTAAGCCATCAGTCAGACATCCCCCAATGGCTACCGGACTAAGAGAGGGCATAGGCTGAGTTGAGGGCCTCCAACTATACAAATTTCATACACTAGCCCTCTAGTATCTTAAAATTTCACAGCTGAGTATTTGTTTCCAAATCATTTAATTCACATTTCACATGACAGAACACACTAATTTCTCTTTCTTTTTATATGTAAGATATATTAGTATTTATATTACATATATATATTGCAATTTGATTACATGTTCTTTCAAACCTCCCCATTGTGCATTTTGTTTTAAATAACATTTCTTAAGTCATTAAAAAATAAAAATAAAAAGCAGATGTTAAAACCTACTTTTACCTTTGACAAATTAAAGGAAGAATCTTGTATTCCTAGATAAAGTTGAAAAAACTTGCCGTAAGTCCCTACCCAATGGCAAGCAATGAGCCAGACACTTTATATTCAATTACTGGTA